TTTTGCGATTTTATATTTTTTTTGTAAAGGGGTTATATTTTTTTTTAAGTATACTAAATTTTCCCCAACTTATAACTATAAAAGTATACAAAAAAATTTTAAAAGTCTAATAACAGATACAGAGTCTTAAGTATACTTGCCCCCCCCCCTTCCCACAAATCTTCAACCCGGAATTATACTTATAAAACCTATGCCTATACAGAAAGCGAAATTTTAATTGATTTCATCTAATTTCAGTCTAATAGTTTTAACAAGTCATCTCAATCGCTTACCATATTTTATTATTATTTTTTTTTTAATACTTTACCGACTTAACAGTTTGAGTAAGTATGTACAACTGGCATGATACTTAATCGTTAAGAACTAATTAATGAATAATACGATGACATGGACCAACACCACCGTCCACCGTACATGTTCCTCGTTTAAAAAGACTTCACAATTATTAACAATCTTGTATTTATTTACTTGTGTTTTTTTTATATAATTAATTGTTGACGCCGTTTAATTTATTTACCGGTTAATAGTCAGAATTGAACAAATTGTTTAACCTCGTCCACAATATTTGTTTTTCGATCGAATAACGACTACAACAAGTTCTAATATTGTTTTGAAGTCAATTTTAAGGGGTTCGTGTAAGCGATAATTAACACTAATTTGTCCATATACAATAGGACGACTCATCCGAATCCGGTTATTTGAAAGTATATTAAACGGCTGGCGTTTTCATTTTGATTTACCTACGTTTCCTTCAAAAACTGGTAACGTGTCTGGCTTTAAACACCTATGGGGTGTGATTTCTCAAGACCGTAATTGATGGGCTTTTAAGACGAACAGTTTTCAAAGACCTCCGACAAAACATCTTTATAAAAATATAAATATAAAAAAAACAATAAATTAACACAACAGGTTTGTGTCTTTGGAAAACATCCCTAATTTTTAGCTGTTATAGTAATATACCTAATCATGGAATATAATATTATTTACCTGGTTTTTGATACGACCAAAGCACCGATGTATGTGTAAAAAAAAAAATACAACTGCTAATGTCTTAGAGAGTAGAAATATATAATGTTCCACAGACTATTCTGTAGCAAGATGGGCACGTGCCTTTGGCCCCCATATATTTTAAAGGTCCTCACTTCTATAGTACACATTCGTTAATTTATATTTATATTGTTGTGAAATGTTTAAAAAAAATGTTTACCAAAAAAAGTGTATTCTCAATGTGAATACAGTTTAAAACTATACACGTTAGAAAGTTCAAAGGCTATCCCTAATCATGGTACTAGTTGTGTGAAAAATATCATTATTTATGATTGTATTACACGAGGCTAGCTAATATCCGTTTACGGGGAAAAGAACTATGGAGCGTCCTATATGTATGTAGTTGATGTGGAATGTGAGAAGATGATTTCTACAGAGTTGTAGGGATATAAAAAAAAAAACACAGATGTCTTTTAATAATATGCTTTTTCTAGAGTGGATTTGTGCTGTGGGGTAAGTACTGTATTATGAGTCGGTATTATTACTCATTCAAGTGGTTCCAAGTAGTGGTTGTAAACAGCTACTGCTGAGTTTTAGGCAAAAAAAATCGTTGCTGTTTAACCGACAGACAAGTGCGGCGTCGTTTAATGATTTTTCTGTTTTGTGATTAAGTTTTACAAATATGCTTGTTTACTTGTTTGTATAATACTTAAACGTTGTGAACATTATACATAATATTATATTACCTACATATGAATTAGCGTGCACCGATAAGGAAACGGTAAGGTCTCTCTCTCTCCTCGCTGCCACCACCAGCACTGTGGCTGTGGCGCCGGCTAAAACGCCCATCGCGCGCGCTATTGGATGACCCACATTCGGTCTAAGGCGCTTTCACCCACACCGGTCGCGGCCTTACGCCTCGCGATTCGCCTCCCCCCCTTCCCCTTTTTTTGGCGAATTCCGCTTTGGCCCACCTGCAGCAAAAGACACGGACGACCGCCCGATCCGTCATTAGTATGATCACGGGTTACCTACTACTTTTTTTTTGTTTTGTTTTGCCAATAAATTATTATAACTTCACTACTTTTTTTGTGTTTTTTTTTTTTTCGGTTTTCCATTTGCGTTTAGCAAATTTAGCACGTACCCGACGATATACGATATGATCGCCAAACGAATTTCGAGAATATTAAAATATAAACCTGTTGTAAGAAAAAAAATACGTTCAAATTTAACCACGCCATTGCGCAGTGCACGTGTGTGACGTCGTCCGCGGCTTGGCTTTGCACTAATCTCAATAAAATTCTATACTTAGGGGGAATATTAAAATATGTGTACTGTAATAATACCGTTTACGTACCATGCTGGTGATTCCATCCGTGACTCGGGACTAGTCAAAGTTCCTGAGTTCTTACTTAGGTCCTCACAACTAAACCGTCTAGTCGTACCGCTTTAAAAACCCTCTGCATGCTGGCTGACTCCACGTTCCCTGTCATATTAAATCTCATTCAAATAACGGCTCTCAATAATTTTGCTTACCGTTGCCGTTATATTATGCAAGTATACTGTCTGGTTTAAAACACTTACCTATATGTACATAATTTGTAGCTCGGACTCATCCCAAGTACATATTATAATATAAATTGTGTTGTGTGGCTAACGACCGGACGTGCAAACGCGATGCTGTGCGGTGTACACATCAATCTAAACGCGTTTTTTTTTGTTTTCAATTATTAAAAGACTGACGGTGGCGTTATTAGGTGTTATAATATCTACTGGTCTGCCTGACCGTCTCCCACGACACCATAATATATATATATACAATAATATTATAGTGTGTGATATTTGCTAGATTCGCAGCGTTAACGACTTGACTTGAAAATAAACTTAACATTTTTTTTCTTCAGGTCCGAAAAAGTATTCCATGTCAAAAAAAAAACCCAAGGAAAACAAAAGAACCGCTGCCGACGTGATTTATGGCCGCTGTCCGTGTATTGTATAATTGTATATATATATATACATATGAATTGTACAAAGCGTACGGTCTGGTCTAATATATTACAAATTATAATATATTATTATATGCGACTAATCGGTTTTGGGTACTACGCACGAAACCCATTGTGCCTCGCTGCTTCAGTTACTCAAGTAGAATACAAGCCTAGGACTTGTCCGTGAAACTCAACATCAGGGGTTATATTATTGCCTAATGTTTTTACGATGATAATATTATAACAACAAGGCGTTGCTTGAAAATCGTTTAAATACACGATTTAAATGGGAAAAAGTACTTAAAACTGCTCGTTCGAACAAAAACATGTATCTCAGTAGAACCCCATCAGTGGAGTATTGTTATGAACTGGGCAGGGTAAATATTGTAAAACTGTTTTGGTCCTCTTCGAATTTTGAATGATTCTGATTTAGACTAGGTTTTTTCACCCCTACGACCTCCTTAAGCACAACAGCAATGGATAATAAAGGAACAATATAGTTTCCATTGTAAAGATGAACATTAGCATTGCAAATCTACAATATTGTATTGTATAATTCTACAGTAATAATTGTAGATTTGCTGGTTATTCAGATGTTATACTTACAAAAGTAAATAAATAAAAAATGTTATACACATAAGTATATACGAATTTGACAAGTGATACAGTATTATTGTTATTATTATTATATATAAGTACTTGTATCGCACGGTATTATGTATAAATCATTTTTATGAGTTGTGTAAAGTCATTGGGGATGGTATACTATCTCAGAGCTTGGTCGTAGCCTGTTGGTATTATATTGTGATTTCATTCATTCATAATCCGTTTCGTTTAATAATAATGGCGTATGATATTATTACAATAAAATAATAACAATAATGTCTTATTTTTTATGTGCAAGCCGACTTTATGATGTTGGCGCCGATCTTTGTCCAACGACGGCGTCGACAACAACAACAACAGAAGAAACGTTTTAAGACTTGGATATTGTTTTTAACGTTGGCCAAGTAGGTATAAATATTAAATGTATACTTGGAGCATAAAATGCTTCATTGGGTTTATTACCACGTTTTACCATAAAAATCACTTAAATAGCTAATCGTGTGCGATGTATGTTTTTTAAAACCGTATCAACATGCTTAGTCACTCGCCATTAATACATATTAATACAGTACTTACCACAACAGCTGTTGATGACCGATCCGAGTGCATAATTTAATAATAATATTGCCCGTTTTCGCGTTTTGTGTCGTTGATTAATTATTATTACTCAAAGAAAAGCTGTCGTCGACTAATTGCAATTAATATAATATTATCTTACAAAGTGTCATTTAGAGCAATAAATTATACGGCAAAACGATAAGAACTGTGTTCTAATGTGTTTTATATAATTTATTATGTATAATTGGTGTGGATTGGTGTAGTAACGGTAGGAGAGGGGGGGGGGAAATGCTAAACCATATTATTATTGCGATGCAAAATAATTTATTTCAAATCAATACTTAATATATATATAAATATATATTATGTACAAAACGTGTTCATATTGAATTTTTTTTACAAAAACTTAACATAATACAATATAATATATATATATGTATACTTGAATAATTTTTTAAAAAATATATACAAATAATAATAAAAAAAAAACGTACAGACGTTTTGTATAGATAGTAAAAACAGGTAGGTACATTTATAAAAAAATAGTAATAATTATTATTATATTCTAAGGTAACATAAAAAACATGGCGATTCATAAGATTCATTGCGCTTGGCCCGATGCGGTGCGGTGTTCAACCGAAATTAAACGACTAATACAAATAAATAAATAAGAAAAACCGACGAGAACCCCCTAAAAATGTGACGTAGGAAATAAGAAAACAATACAAGTCACACAAGTGTAGTGTGTTGTGTGTATAAGATGTATATTTATAAGAAGAGTGGTTATATGTATATATTGTTCCGGGGTGTCACACACGCCGACGCCGAAGGATGTAGAGGATGTGCACCAAGGAAATAATAGCCAAGTATATTACACAACCAGTTTCACCGGTTAGACATTTTTTATTTATCTTTTCATTTCATCGTCCCATAAGATTCTCGTCGATTGAAGCGTTTTGTGTTTATTTTGCGCAGACAAATACGACAGACAATAATAATAATAACTTAACACCGCCGTTGGTTACCGGCTAAGACGTTACACAGTGTTAAATTATTATCATCAACGGCAAACGACGGCTTACGATTTTCACAATATATATAGGTAGATAAGAAAAAAAAAATAATATATAGGTAGTATACACAGTATCACAGTTAAAAAAAATATGTTTAGACGGAAAAAAAAAATAAACGCAAGAAAAAAACGCTGGCGACCGTCACGTCATCCCTTACTATACTAAAACACAACATTAATAATTATTCCTACAGTATTATTATTATTATTTTTTTTAATATTACAAAGTCGAGATGACGACGCGTACCGTACCTACATTGCCGGTAGACAATAAAAAATCATAATGAGGACAATATTTCTAATTACATCAAAGTTAAAATAGGTACGTTTAAAAAAGAATGAATTTTGATAACTTACACATCAGAGCGTTAGAAGTTGGACTTATTTTTTATCTGTTTTATTTTGTATATTTACTATAATTTTTTTTTTTTTTAGTATGATTTTAGGATAGCGCGTCGCCAACTCGATTCCGTTTATAGTATTATCACAATACTGTCTAGAAACGTCTAGTTTGGCAGATTTTCACTCTGATGGTAAAAAAACGGTCGTTGTAAAGTACAACGTCGCGGCGGCGATATTCAATAATTACAAAACTAATATTATTATCTATTATTATTATGGCACCTCGAAGAAACGGGCGGCGGCCGGTCTAGCTGAACTCGGTGGCGAAGTTGTCTTCGAACATGTACGGGTCGCCGTTGAAGTCGATGGGCGGCAACGCGTGGTCGGCGAACGGCATGAACGACGAGGCGTCCGGGAAGTCGGCGGCCAACAGGGACGGGAATCCGACGTCGGTGGAGCACGACGACGGGGACAGCGAGTACGTGGACATGTCCCGGAACACCGGATCCAGGAAACAGCCGCCGCCGCTGCCGCTGCCGCCGCCACCGCCGCCGCTGCTGCTGCCGGGCGGCGTGGACACGGAACACTCGCTGAGCAGGTCCGGGGCGTACTCGCTGAGCAGCGAGTCCACGTCCGACTCGGACGGCGAAGTGGCGGCCAGCGTGGCCGGCGACGGCTGCGCGGACAGCAGACCGCTCAGCGCCGATATGTACTTCATGGCCAGCCGGAGCGTGGTGATTTTGGTGAGCTTCTCGTTGTGCGCCTCCACGGCCAGGTGCGGTACGGCTCGCCTGAGCGCTTCGAACGCCTCGTTGATCTCTCTCATCCTGCTCCGCTCTCGCGCGTTTGCGGTCTTCCTCCGATACCTGCAACAATGGTGAAACACCGCGTTGTAATCAAACGGATTCAATCAAATACCAAAGTACACGCACCAATATTCGTCACCAACGTTTGTCAACGTACATTGGTAGTACTATGTTTAAAGAATATTCCCCACAAATTTGGAGCTAATTTGACTAATTTAAAAACAAATAGTCATAACCTTTACAATTATTGAGCTATAAGTCACATTCAGTCAATTAAATGGCGAAAAAAAAAATGTCTGTCTAAACGAAACCCAATCACCAACAAATTTTAATCAGTGTGCCTGGACAATTGAACAAACATACTGGTATTTAGGGAAAAAATCTAGTCCGCATAGTCACAATAAAAGAGCATACGATTCCACAGAAGAACACATACACATCCACCGACTGAATGCCAAGTTGTTCTATTTTCGACTACAACACATAGGTATGGTGTTAATATTGGGAAAAAAATTTCAGGGAACCGTAGCTTCCTCTCTGAGGAAGCAAAATAAAACCCAATGGTTGTAAAAACAATACTTTTTCTACTCGGCATCGAAGTTATAAAGAAAATTGTATTAAAGCAAAATTATGAATTCTTTCATAAAAATATAAAAAAGCTTGGAAACTGTTTAAATATATCAGAGAGGACGTTTTAACTGCAACGACGAGACGTCTTGATTCGGTACAATAATTTTTTTCTCAACTAAATTATATTTTGTTATTGAATCGAAAAACGCACAACGAAAATACTAGTTACTACTATAATTGATAGCCTGTAAATTAATTGTATCTATTTATTTCATTAGAAAATCGCGCCTACGTGCGGGTTTTTAGGTTATCGTTTAATAAATACACATTAACACACCCGTTCGGTTAAATACAATCTAATTGAACTAACTGAAATGTTCGTCGAGAACATTTCTAGCTTTTAGTTTGTCTAAAAGTTACACAATTTAGTTCACTGTGCACACTATGAACTAATCCATACATATAGCGGCGTACAGCCAGAATATTCAAATAATTATAATAATTATACTATACTACACGATGACTGGTAAAACATAAAAACAATGTTAACATGTGTGATTTAGAAATTTGTCCACAGAAATCGAAAGTAAAGGGTTTTTGATTTGTATTTGTTTTACTCTCGAGTCTTGTACACAAACGTGACTACGATTAGCCTCATGTTTGAAAATGTGCATCGTAACGTGTGTCTCGGTTGAATTTAAATCAAACACAGACACACACACACACGTTCTTCTCGGACGAGGGGTGGATTCAATTATTATAAAAAAGGTCTAATGGAGTTTCCCCATTACCCTGACCAACAACAACAGTAAGGCGCATACATATAATGAAACACGGTTACATATCTACATAAATCACATTTTGGGCGGGACTCGAATAATAATACTTGTGTAATAATATATTGCTATGTTTACTATCAAACGGTCGTTAAGTCGAAATCCCACGAATTAATCAACGAAAAATAACTAAACAAGTTCATTAATTTTATTGTAAAGTATAGAATAAGCGTCTTACGATCGCAGAAATCGATCTACGCACAAAATTACTTGAAAAAAACCTAATAATTCTAATATTTTTTTTTCTGTTTTGGAGTTAAACACTTAATATAATGATAGGTATTGTAATACCCTATAAATTACCACACCTTATAAGCGCAGTGTCTTTGCTATATAATAAAATTATTCTATAAAACCATCCAGGCGAATAATACGAATAGTAGGTACAATGGAAATGTACACAAACGGTTAAACGACTCGGTTGTTTTACTAGATGACGTACACAAGGCAGGATATAAAATAAGTAGCCTATTAGAAAATACAACTTTGATAAACGCTACTTTATATGTTTGAAGCGCCTAGAACGGACAAAAAACATGATTTTATATTTTTTTACAGAACGGTTAAATAGTAAAATTAGTTAATATTTTTTTGTAACCGGCTTTATTTATATTGGTTTGTAATTAATTAATTTTTTTTATTTAACAGTATTTGATTTGTAGGTAGGTATAATTCACGGGATAAAAAATACATAGTTGGCCCAGCTAAATGTGTTCAACTAAAAATTTAGTTGGCTCGCCTATTTATTTAGTTATTCCAACTAGAAATGTATTGTGTACCTAATTTATATTAACGATAATTTTAGTATTTTTGTCTATGTTATATTGCATAATATATTTTTCCACAGCCGAGTGAAATGGGGATAATATTCCTCAACACTAACCGTTGGAAAATTTAAGAAACCGATTTCCTACATAATTTATATAAGAAATTATATTAAAATGTCTGCAAATATTATAATTCAGCAAATTTTTATATACTCAATTAGTTATTATTTTAACCGTATTTAATCCTATTATTTTTTTTTTTTTCGAGGTTAGAAATATAGTTAGTAGGTACCTGCTCAAGGGTTTGGGTTTCTGTCTCCGTTTGGCCGAACGGCCCCGACCCGAGGGTTTCCACGATGCTTCCTCGTTTTCTTCGTCGGGTTCTTCGCGCTTTAACGAAGCCCTAGGCCTCAGCGAGTATTTCTCCTGGACCATAATTGATTTCTCCTGCAACGGCACCACCGCGCTATTGTTGTTCGCGTCGAACTCGGTCATCGTGGGATATAATAATTAATAGATAATGGTTATCTTCTTTAGTTAAAAAAAAAAACAAAATAATAACAATTATTCACCGGCGTTATACCGGTAATAAACGTAACTCGAGATTGTATATTATGTTATGTGAAAACGAATTGTTTTTTAATTACAGAATATGACAATCAAAATTCATAGTTGAACACAAATAATTGAAACACACAAAAACACAAACGCCCGTACTGCACATTAGCCGGCTGGTCAAGTGCCAGGTTAGGTCGGCGGCGAAGGCAATATACTTAGGCACGGCCTAAGGTTATTCCATGGCGAGAAACGCGCGTGTTGGCCGTAAGACGGTTCGTCCGGCTGTGCGCGGTGTGTGCGAGTAAACGACCGTTAAAGTCTCCGGCAACAGACTGTGGTCTCGGCCGCCACCGCACGGCAGCAACCGAGGAGGACACGCGCTCGGTCTGCCCCTCTCTTGAGAAAAATAAAAACTAAGAATAATAATAATAATAATAAATAAAATATGTAAAGTACAACAGTAATACGACCACGCTGCCCCCGCGACGCCCAAAAAAAAAAAAAAAACAACCGGACCTATTATTTATGTTTCCTTTTTTATATCTATATATATATATATATATATATATATATATATATAGGTATATATACTCTCCACCGACCTCTCGCTCTTTTGGGTTCTGCACACGCGGTATATTATTATTATAAATTTGTTGCTGTTGTCCGTTGGCCTTTTCTGTTTCTTACCTATATACGACAACGATATGCTGGTTATAGGCTGAAATTTTCTTAATCGCGACTGTGATCTATTAAGGCGCGTTGTAAAGGCAAATTTTCACTAAAACATAATATTTCATACTAAAATTTGTAAACGTATATTATTTCAACACAAGAAACACGGGTCTATTTTGATATTTAGTTTATTTTTTTATTTTTTATAACCCGCATAAAGGCGACAAAAGTTCTGTTTTTTAACCCTTTGGCATATTATTTCCATCATCCTGTGTTCCCATTAAGTCAGATTTTTATTGTGAAAACATAAAAATATGTTGAATTCCTCGTCATGTCTTCTGTGGATTGTTTTCATTTCAATATGGGACTTTATGAGAACACAGGGTGATTGATGTGTGCCAAGGGTCTATTTACTTAATCGAAAATCAATATTTGTTTTGGCGTATACCAATACAATTTACATAAACTAAAACGAAATCACGGCAATTACGAAGACAAGAATATAAGTAGGTATACAGGGTGATTATTTTATCATGAACCACTCAATATCTCAAAGGGTTTAATAAGAAATTAAAATATTTTTTTTCATTTGGTTGTTATGCAATGTGATCTCAATTTTTCACAGTTTTTTTTGTTTTTATCCCCCCCCCCCCAACTTAGTTATTTTGATAGCAACTTTTGAAACTTAAATGGTAACGTAAATATTTTATTAATTTTTTTAATTGAAAATAATGTACTAAAAATGTTGACTTGTCAATAACCAGTTTCGGATAACTATTTTTGAAGTTATTGAAGTTTAAAGTTTAGGGCAGGAGGAAAGGTGGAGTGTAGTATTATTTTTATCTGCGCGCATTTCCCAACTACACTTCCTCTCACATCCTAACTTTAAAAATCTTATAACTCTAAAAATAGTTATCCAAAACTGGTTATTGACAAGTCAACATTTTTAGTACATTATTTTCAATTAAAAAAATTAATAAAATATTTACGTTACCATTTAAGTTTCAAAAGTTGCTATCAAAATAACTAAGTTGGGGGGGGGGGGGGTAAAAACAAAAAAAACTGTGAAAAATTGAGATCACATTGCATAACAACCAAATGAAAAAAATATTTTAATTTCTTATTAAACCCTTTGAGATATTGAGTGGTTCATGATAAAAGAATCACCCTGTATTGTAATTAACAATATTACAAATATTAAAAAACACAAACATGCGGACTGAGCTTTGTTTTTAACTAACCTACCGGTTTTTCAATCTAACGTTATTTTTAATTGATTGATCAAAAATTCTGTTCATAATCCATGAGTATTGTGAGAAGTACCTACTATAACAATAAAAAATAGAGCTGTAACATCGGTCGCCTTTGATTTTTTTTTTTGTTGACTTTTAAAGCCTTATTCACTTTTCATGCAACAACAGCAACGAATAATATGGTCATCACCGATAAAATATATGCTGCCATCTGGTGGTCAACATACATTTGTATACTAAAATACTCTTGTATTGTTTTAGATGTCTATCTATTCAATTTGCAATAATCATTAGTTGACTAGTTAGATAATTAATTAGTTACACACCCGCTATACTAGTTAATAAGAACATTCAAAAGTTAGGTATTATACGATTAATACAATTATTATAATGTATGATTACAATAGTTTTTTATTTGAATTTGTTTTATGTTAAATGCTACCTACTTATTAAGACAAAAATAGAAAAAAGTTTAAGTCAAAAAAAGAAAGACATGATGCACCACTGGCAGTGCTCAAGGATTCGCTGTTCCACTATTGACAGTTTGGCACGTACAAGAAGAATTATATCTCTAACTACCTTCATACTTCACAAAAAAAAAAGCTATTCGAATTAAAAAACGCCCTATCGCGTGAAGTATAACACAATATGTATAACAAAACACATGTGGGCAGAAACAATTGACTAGCTGGTATGCTTTTTCGCCTAGTATACAACGAGCGCCTTTTATATACCTACATAATATTATGAAAATTCACAATAGGTAATAATGTGATCTAAGTGCCAACGTTCAGCTAAACGACCTTCACGTCAACAATTTTTTATTTATATCATAAATAGTAGGTACACAAATGTTTCCAATCAGTAATTATTCATACTGTCAAATAGTAAATGAGAGCCAACCAAATCTCACAGATAATTCACATAGTTATCTAAACTTTGTGTAAAATGCAATTGAGCTTTTGCTACCTGTATAATATTAAATTTAACGTTTTTAATACATAGAATTTAAAAAAAAATTGTAATTTGTCCATGTACCCATAGAAAAAAATATTTATCATAGTAATACAATAATTTGATATCTACATAAATGTAACACGGTTTATTACTATCGTCCCACTTGATCCACAACATCACAATGAAAATTGATTTACTAATTAAAATTAGTGATTAAGTTTGTTAAATATTGACGTTTGTAAAAATACAATGTCAATAATCCACGCAGAGTTTTAGGTTCACTTATAACTCGAAGGTCACAAAAACGACTTCATTTAAAAAAATGTAAATTATACATTCAAAGTAACTGGAATAAAGTTTTCTTATGCAGATATATCAATTATTTCAAAATACTATAATATTAACAAAATCAAGGAACTTTCATTGTCAAAAAAAAAAATATATTAGATAAATTATATTTAACTTGAGATAAACAAATTTTAATAATACATATTTGAACATAATAATTCTGTATTGTCTTTTTATAAACATACAGGTACATAAATTGTTTACTATTCTTAAAAAATTAAAAATTATTATTCATTCATCTGTATTTAAAACTATATAGATGATATTGTTAACTGATGTAGAAATCATATAGTTTTGATAGGTACAATTGTTAATTCCAAAACAATTATGATAAGTATAATTATTACTGTATTGAACTGTATTGAATGTAAACAATAAAATAAATAAAACATTTTTTGAATAATAATGTATTGTTAAAATTAAAGCAAATAATATGTATGATGTATTGTACTAAAATTCTTATGTTATTCATATGCAACGAATAGATTTAAATAATACCATTGTATATAATATAATATCTAAGTATCTATTTATAATAATATATAACATTCTCATTTTTTAAAGTATAATTTGTTTAGTAATTTATTTCTAAAGAGAAATGAATTAAGGAGTTAACATATTTGATTTTTGAAATTTGTGACATATTTTTTTACTACGCTTTTCTAATATTACATTATTCACATTACTCATTAAGTGGTACAATGGTTACATAACACGCGTTATTGAACTAAAATATACTTACAATAGTGAGTATTTTCTTTGTAAGACCCACGCTAGTTTTATTATCATTGGACCTATGTCTTTTATCTCCATTTCTGTTGATCGAATCTAGCTAGTATTTGAGCATATGAATGGTTAAAACTTACAAATTTAAGTAACCATTGCTTTCATTAAACGTTGAAAACACCCAAACAAAAAATATATATATATTATTGTTTTTTACTTTATTGTTCATTGATTACAAGGTAATACTTTTAATAGTTGATAACTTATCAACTATAGGTGCGCATTGTTCCCAGCTATATAATCTAACTACCAATTAGAAATTTGCTAGGTGGACTTTAGAAATTCAAACTTCAACTGTACGCTTAAAGTTTTAATAATGCAATACTACTCTGTTCAATTTTTTTATTTTAGAATATTTTTGTTTTCAAATAATATATTTTATTTTATATCTAATGGTTAGAAGATAAGAATTATTTTGTTTAGCCAGGCATCATTTTAGTACCCCCTTAAATATGTAAGTCTAGTTACATTGTTAACAATTAACTGACCTATACGAAATGCTTACCGAAATCCCATTGTCGTTTCACAAACGTGACAAAGGCAATCTTTCCGGTTACCCTAGAAAAGAAAACCTTGTAAAGCGCGATGGCTACGATAAAAAATATATTATGATAAAATTAAATAAATTTAAAAAAAAAAACTTTCAAAAACCTGTTTCGCGCTTGTACCAGCGGCGGCCGCGGTTAACATATTACTATGAGTAGGTCATTGTGGGCACGGGTATATGTATATATATAATATTATATAGGTACTCCGTAGGCGCCGTTGCGGTTTTAGTTTTTTTTATGAATGAAAAATGGGTGGCGGCGATTGCGTAACGATTTAATTAGGTACTAGCGACCGGCCAAAACCTAGAAAAATAATAATAATAATATTAACATTTTATCTATCTACTATACTATACTATCCTTCTCCGTCAGACCCGCACACCGTCTTGGTGGGACTCATAGGCGGACGCGGACTTCCGGCGAAATGCGAAAAAATAGCGTGGGCTTGAGCTGTTGTCGCCCACGTGCTAGCCTTGGCGCCGCCGGTTTCATTCATTGACGGCCCGGGACACGGTGTGTGTGTAATAGTCCTCTGCATCTCACCTGTAACCATACTATCTGTTATAAGAACATATATATATGCATATACGGCTATTATAATAATATGTACATTTTCGATGACGGCCGTCGTCGCTATACAGGTAGGTCTCACACCTGGAAATATTACATATAGGTACCCGTCGACCACACCGTCTCTGGTGACTGATAATATAATAGTAAGTAGTATATATTTTTTTCATTCATTCATTCATTCTCACATTCACGTGACCTCATCCAACGGATTCGGCCTATCTGTCGCCGTTGACTAATATCCGGTCGATCCCCGTAATCGTTTCTTCGGTGCGGTTTTTTTTTATATAACCATACATAATAATTAAAATATCTTAATATATTTTGCAACGTCTCGGCGAAAGCGAATTATTTTCAACCACTCGCTCCTACAACCCCTGGAAATGTCTTGGAAATATTTTTTGAATTTATTAAATAGTGTGCGCAATAGTGCTGCATAGTCAGAAAGGTTAAAAACACTTTAACGATTTGATTTCTAGTGCGTTTAAAACTCGTTATGTACACAAGTGCACTAATCGTTAAACGCAGTGAAAAGTTGGTATGCCTACACAGTTTTTACCTAACGCTCGTTACACAATGATAGCTGTTGTATAAATGCAATTTAAATGAGTGTGCGAAACACCGTGTCAAGCCTATGTTGGACTCGAAGCATATAATATATAAACAATATTAGAAATTCAATTTAAGATGATTTTCCTATCACAAAAAGTTGTCCTGCTAAACATAACTTATTATAGATTGTTTTATGAAAATTGGCATTAGTGTTTATTATGATCTCCAGTTGGCTTCAACGACTCAAAGCCAGTCAACTTGTCGACTCAATATTGTGATTTACACATTTTCATCACTATAACTACACTTTTATTCTACTGCTCGCATAAACTGAACTGGGAATTGAGTGTGGATTGATTTTCATAGTGTCCAAAGGTGGTTGTGTTCACCAGTTTTGTTGGTGCTCGTTTTATAATTGTTCAGTGGAAACGTGCGGCTGAATATCAAAGTCGAAATACATAATATTCTATTATAATCGCAAAATAGGAAACGGCATGGTGTATAATTTTACAGTGTCGAACTGATTGTGCACAACAGTGTGTACCTGTAACAGTGTGGCTAAGGCGGTGGCGGTAGGTAATTTATCGCTGCGTGTAAACCATAAACGACAGAAAAGTTTCGCACACACTGTTGTATCGGTCTGGACGATCTCTGTGTTAGCAGCAGCCATAGAACTTGTGATAAATGATTAATCTGTCCGGACTGAGCAGGCAACGACAGCCGTGTACAACACTTCTTGGCCTAACCGTGCGACGATCCGGTTGTACAAATCGATCGGTCTTTGTCTTAGAAATAATTATTTTTTTAAAAGTTTTTTCACCCTCCCCTCCTCTCCATTTGTCACTGTTTTCTTATCAGAAGCCATTATCAGCTGGCTCTTATCAGCTATCCCTTATCACTGTTGAGAAAATGTTCGACAGACTCCCATAAGAAATATTTATGTCAACTTAACGTTAAATACAACCGACAAACTTGATTGTTGGAGCAATTTTAGTTATACCTATGTATGATTCATGATAATAATGATCAATTCAACCCAGGGGGTAATTTGTTCACATTATGTGAAAGAGCTTAAAGTAAGTTTGCGCATCCGATGACGAAGAGATACGTCATGAAACTTTCGAGTGATTCATAAACGGCAAATGCGATTTGTACAAAAAAAAAAAGTGACTAATTTTTTAATCTCTTAAGAATTATGTTGCGCCATAACATTTACTCTGAAAACAAATAATTCATACATACAACTATATTCATACATAGTATTTTAGAATTATTCTAACCTGCCAAGTATAAAAACGATGAAAGATGCCGAAGAATAATACCGAAAAACTAATTCAACCTTAACTTGTGTTCCTATTTTGTATTAATTGGGACTAGTTTTTAGCTTGGATACAAATAAATTGGAACTGTTTTTTCTAACATTAAAGACCGAGAACGGGTATTTGTGCGTATCTATTATGACGTTGTCATAATCGTCAAAATTAACGATATCCGGTGAAAGTTGTCTGATGCATACTTAAGAAGTATATTATTGAAACTTATTTACGCATAAAAAATAACATTATTAATTATGTAAAAAAAAAACAACAAAATATCTATATAATGTTAAGAGTACAAATTATTTATTGCAGAGTACAAATCGTGAAAGTACATACATAAAGTTAATTCATTAATGTTCTAAACTGTTTGTTTTCACTTGCCATATTGAAACAATGCATAAGTTATATTTTCCTTTAGAGTTGTTTGAAAAATGTATAAAAAAATCAGGCTAATTTTTTAGTTTTAAGCAACTGCAAAAATTGTACAGTTAAAATTGTAGGTAAGTACAAATACTCACGGCTGAATGAGTTATCGACCGGTATTGGAGATAATAACCAGTCAAGTGTATAAATCAATTTAAACATGTGAAATAAATAATTTAGATAGTAGCTTTCAAAAGATAGGATGAAAAGTTGTTTCCTATACTATAAACATTCCACGGTGCATGGACGAGACAACTGTAGAGTCTTGCAAGGAATATTAAGGATTGTATCAGAATCAATATTAATGTCCACGCAGCCACTGCAGTCATAGATCACGATGATCACCTTTCATATGAAAAAGATTTTTTAAAAAAATACAAAAATGATGAGACTTTGAGCTGTGCATACATATTCAAACACAATACCTGTTAATCTTCATTGTGTCATTTTGTCGTTTTTACATTAATCTAATTTAACTAAATTATTAGCAATTTATAATCAAATATAAGACATAATAATATTAATTGATTGCACGTCAATTCAACAAAACAATATTATTTTTGGACTCAACGTAAGAGTTGTAAAGATTTAAAAAAAAATATGAATACCCAATGAAATGTTGTTATTAACTGTGATTTACCTTGGGAGAATAATAACAAGATAATTCGTAATCCTTCTTTTAGAGTCGATTGATAAGAAAGAAAAATAATTTATTTTGTTTTTTTTTTATTGAATAAAACGTAGGTATAATTATTACTTTGTCCAGTTCTAATAATATAAAATTGAATTATTATTTCTTCAAAAAAAAAACAAAAAATAGTAATTAATGTTTTGATCTATAGTTGTACATTATCTTGTTATGTTTATCTTTTAGAAAATATGTATATTTGTCCTACGCATTATCTGTCTTTGAGAGTTATCTGCACAGTACTATTATTATTTATTACTTATCGTAAGGCACGCCTATTATTACATTTTCATGAGTTCCTAATGTGATTATATTATTATAAATAAAGATTCAATATTTAAATCGACAAACACCATGACAATAATATTATAATAACAAGAAAGAAGTCCACATTTCAACCCAAAATAATATTGGTTAGATCAACATTATGTCAGGTATATAATAAAAAGAAACAGAAAATATAACTCCACGACTTAGTCGCCACACTTTGGTGATTTGCAGTTAAAGTTTGTATAAAACTATACTTGTTGTTGTTTTAAAAGTTAAAAAAAAAGTAATTGTTTGTTTACTGTCATTAAACCAAACTAAATTGAGTCAACATAATAATATGTCTACAATGTTAAGTTAGGCATCATTATTGTTTTTGATTATGTTAATATTGCACAATTATTGTAAAAGTAATTACAATTTTTGCATTTAAAATTAAAAGCAACATACTATTCGTTTTTAAAAATATACTTAGAAAGTTTAGTAATGACACAGGCAAACCACTATCACTGTTTGACCCTACTCGGTGGCAAAGTAATTTTAATGAGCGACATTCCATACAGTTACACCTAGCAATTATTATCGCGTTTCAATTATAATAATTATAATTGAATATAATATAATATATATATATATATTTTTTTTTTTTTTTTTCGAAAAATATCTTCCCATTGATTATACCCGCTCGGTTTGTACCGCCAAGATAAACATCTATTTTCCGTTTGCTTCCAACCGACCGCGTGAACCGAAAAAGAATCCACCCTTTATTTAATATAGGAATTCCCATTCTAACTGTCAAGTCAAACGGTGAGAAATCTTAACGGAACTCTATTGGAAAAATGTAGATAATTATCGGTCAATCATTAAAACAGTAAGTTTAAAAAATATTTGACGGGATATGAGCAGATAAGTAATAATACCTAGTTGAATTAATAATCCCTTTAATTATCTTATACGCTAAAATCTGTAACACAACAAATACACAATTCCATATACCAACCGTGGTTTTGTCGATATTTCCTGCAAGTAAGACACGTGAACCGAAGATTGATGATGGACAATGACGGTTGCATTAGCAGCAGCAACGGCGAAGGAGACGAAAGCTAATAATATGGCGACCACGGCCCAGTTGTCACCGGGTTTGCACAAGACTACAACCGTGATTTATGCCTCGTGCACATCTATAAGAAGATCACCGTACACCGTTAACCTTAGCATCACAATACCGCCGTCACAATGGTATGAGCATAAGATAAGTTCGCCAATATACAAACTATTGTTGTACATGATAAAAACAGCTTATGAAAATTATTTTATATTTTCATAATTTTATTGATACTTTTTGGTAAACAATTTTTTTTTTAATATTGTAAATATGAAAAAAGAAATAGAAATTTTAAATTTTGATTCTTTAAAATGTAATTAAGCTTGTTTATTTTAGACTATTTGCTATTCAGTAAAAACATGCCAATTCATGAACTCCCAGGCACTAATTATTATTATTATTGAAGGGGCCTCTACACCAACGTATTTTTTATCATAAACAACTTATTATAATATTTCAACAGTACATTCTTCAACACTTGCTTGGTGTTTCGATCGAAGTACATTTTGAATTTTTTTGTTTTTAATGTTATAGTAAAAATCATTCGACACGTTTAAAAATTGTAATTTTTCACATGGAAATAATTAAAAAATGATGCCACTACGATGGAAAATTAAATCAGACTATTTTTAAGGTGGTTCAAAGTGGAGACATACGTTTTTGTCCAAAATATGCATTAAATAAGTTGGAACAAAAAACAAAATATGTAATTTAAAAATACATCCTTCTACCCTGTGTTAATTCATAAACGTTTACAACAATTTTGGTTAATGTTAAGTTTTATTGAAAAATCGCCTATACGATGCAACGTAATAAATACTGGTGTAGAGGCCCGTTAAAATATCCAAACAAAAAGTATACGCGGCAATAATTTTAATATAATCAGATATACCTACTATAATTGCAAAAAATCAACCAATTTTTTGTCCTCTATGGCTACTATAATAATTATTATTGTATAAAGCAAGCATAATATATAATCTCTATTTCACTAATCCGATTCATAACACAACAGTCGATCGATTTTAAACCAAACGACCATTTTTTGAAGGAGATCTCAATCTTGAAAACCGATAAAGCCGATTGTGTACAGTGCATATAGATTGAATTTATGCAAATTTTTACAACGGTCATTTCCTGCGAATAAACCAACAAAATAATTACAAGTGTATATATAATAATATAATATAATATACTTATATAGCGCGTGTATTGTTGAACCGGTCCGAGATGACAATATGCAATCTATAAGCGAGGCTCAAATATTATATATCCATAGTAATAATAATAGCCAACGAAAGAAATTACCATGCGACGACGACGACGACTGTACATAGGTATGGAGAAAATGTTTTTTATGTAAATTATGTGCATTATTATTATTATTACGGACAGAGTTCAGAGCAACAAGCTGTAGCTAGGCACCGATCAGAGTCCACAAAGGAAATATGGGCGTTGTGCTTGCACGGGTACCATGCACTTACTATACACACAGAAAACAGTTTATGCACATAGGAAGTGACGACACGTCCGCCGCTAGAAGCCCACGTCCTCGTCCGGCATATTACATATTATTATACTTGGGGACTGAAACATTAGCCTAATGCAAAACCTACACACGGTACCACCATAATAATATTATTGTTATTGTGTTATTATATCATATAGAATTCGATGCGGTAAGTCGGTATTTACGACCCAATTGGGGTGGGGGGGGGGGCAGAGGGTTATTGTGTTTGGCTTAGGTCTAAGGTATGTGTGTTTTCGCTGCGTGGAAAAGAAAATTATTATCGTTATTATTTTTTTAATCTACATATTTTTTTTACCGTTGCAAAGCCGCCGTGTTACAACAAACAATATGCGTACAATGTACTTAAACAGCGACGAGACGGTCAAACATATACATACTCATACTATACTTGAACCTATAGGGTTATGCGAGGTACTGTAAATGACCATTTAATTGTAAAATGAATCCACTTTTGTATTTGTTATTCTTGAATAAACAGCGAGTACACGTTCACACGATCAATTAAAAGTAAGCGCTGAACAAGACTGATCTAAAACAATCTCTGAAACATTATCAAACAACCGGTATTCATAGGCGTACAACAGATTCTCCGTGGATAAAAAAATATGCTAAATACTTGTACACATAATAAAAACCAAAAAGTACAATGTAGACATTTTTACTAGCAAAAACCAGTAAAACTTCTTACTTACTCTTTATTTTATTTTTGTTTATGTAAAACTATAAAAGTGGACCTACTTAAAATTAATATACCTGTCAAAAAAAAAAAAAAATAAAAAAAATAGTAACGACATTTTTAACTGAAATGCGATTTTGGTTTGTGGTATAAAATGTATAAACGAATAAAACCGAATAATATAATATTATGCATGTATACAAATGATAATAATAAATTGTCCTACGTTCGGTTTCGACCAAGATGCGTTTCGCTAAAATCCTGAAATGATGACTCATAAAAATGGAAACAACTTAAGTCGCTCGCAAGATAATCCCGTCTCGGGGGGGGGGGGAAATAGTGAATCAATTGGACGCGCCCAACGTTTATAAATACCTACAATAGTTTTTTTTAATAAACGCCTCCGGCAAATATTAGGACTTAAGAGTAGGTGATGGTATAAACAACGAATCGCATTTTTCCATTTACCGGATTATTATAGCCTCAGACGTGCTACCGTAACCCGAGGGCGCCGACAAAACGAGAACAGCTCCCCAAGAATATTATTATTTTTGTTCAAATGATAATAATAATTATTATTAAATAGAGCGGCCGGCTTATGTAGATCATGTTTCGTGTATAATTATAATAAACACACGTCGTCCGTTCGAGTTTTCTAAGTACCCCGCTTATAAAATATTATATCTGATAAAAATTTCGAACGGCTATTGAAGTATCTTATCACGCCTCATCAAAACGGTACACTCATCTCTTTACAGATATATATATATATATGTATATATAATGAACTAGATTGCTCAGTAGTGATAAAAATGGAAGTCGACGTCAGCCATTTTCGTGGGATTTATGTGTATAAAAAACGGTGGATAACCGGTAAAGTTTTAAAGTTATTAAAGTTAAAAATTAAGGACGGGTGGGGGAGTGCGGTAGAGTAATGCGGTTGTATCAAAACAATAATACCATTCGCTCTTCCTCCAGTCATATATTTTTAACTTCAATTTAACTAATAATTATTCTGCAAACTGGTTGACCAACTAACTGGTTAGTCACAATGTTCAGAAAATTATTCTACTATTAAAAAGCGAATTAAAGGTAAACGTTTTGATTTAAGTTTCAAAAGTTGATAGACCTATGAAAAATAATAAAAAAGGTAAATATTTAGTAATTTCATAATATTGAAAAATCACAAGAGGGGAGGGGGTAGAGATGCGATAAGTGATAACCTTGTACATATTTTAAGCTATGTATAAACCGTTTAAAATAAAATTCCAAACGCAAAATAGATGGACGGTAAAAGTCTTCAAGTTAACCACTAACCCGGGGCTAAGTTCAGTAATAAAGAAATCCGAAGACCTAGTGATTCTATATAGGTCTTACGCAAATAGCGATTTAAAAGAAAAGTAAATCGGTTTATAGCGAATATGTTTTAGCGGAATGGTTGCAAGTCGACCGTTATGAGATAGTATAGTAGTAATAATAATATTTTTTAATACCTATACATAAACACAAGTCATCCGTAATAATGGTATTTGCGCGATTCTCGTGGACCAGCTTAGGTTTAACATTATGACGGATTTAACGGCGGTCGTATTTAAGTATTTAAAAGAAAAAAAATAGGGCGTCTTCGAAAACGGCAAAACCTAACTTAACCTAGTATGAACCGACTACTCGTAATAATAATTTTTTTTTTTTTAACTTAGTGGCACACACAAGCGGTGACACGACCATTGTTTATGCGCGTGTCTTAACATCGTTCGGGTACCTATACAGCTGCTGCCGCTGCTGCTGCTGCTGCCCTTCGTGACTTCGGTGACATCACACACAAAGGGTAGGTATTTATGATTTCTCAAGATGTATTCGTGATTGTACGGACTTCCGACTATTGCGAGCAATACGACAACGATGACGGTTTTAGACACATACATTTAGTATTATTATTATACTAATATCGTGTCGTGTGTGTAGGTATACCTACAGTACGGTTACAAAAATAATACCAATGCAAACCGATACACTATATTATATACTATAATATTACCCATACGAAGCATATTATCATAAACCTATCCTGACGCATGGCCGACCGGTGGAGAGGTGAATCTCGTGAACGACATTCGACTTGTTTGTATTATAATATATTGTTATCATGATATTTTGCCCCTATTTTAATGCGCACACGCCGCTTGATTGAAGTACCTATTTCGCTTTGCCCGTTTTTACAGTTATTGTTTCTTCACGAATATTTGAGGTAGGTATGTAAAGTAAACAAAAGAACTAAAACCAGCATGACCACACAAAAGAAAGAAAAACCTCTTTATTGTTGAGCAGTTAGCACTCTATAATAATATGATAAAATAAGTTTTTACCACTTATTTAATAAAATGTGAACAAAATGGCATATACAAATGTTCACTATTTTGTTATTCTACTAGGCGTCATTCTTTTTCTATAATAGGGTGTCTTGTCGCACAACAATAAGGTACCAGGTGTCTAAGTTTAACATATATCTCGCTAAATTAAATTTCCAACAAAAACCTAACAGTGAAAAAGGGCCAAGTTGTAGACCCCCTCCCAAAAAAGTCAACCTATCAAAGTAGTGATATCTACATTACATTTATTACAGAAACTAAAAAAAAACTAAATTAAAAAGTTAAATTGATTAAACTTAAGCGCAAGATAAGGCATTAATTCCTAGCCTAGTACTAATTCTAAACTCTTAAATAACTTTATTTGAGGTAGTCGGTAGTTATAAAAATATAATAAAAGAATTGGTCGGATCAGTAAGAACATAAATAATTGTAATATTGACACTTAAATAATATAAATATAAAATAGTTTTTAAATTATTATTACTTCGTTGCAAATTACAAAATTAATAAAAACGCAATTTATATTTAACACACTGTTGATTTTTATTACATTTATTAAATACACTGAATTCATTTGTCGAAAAATAATATTAAAATACATTTCACCTATTGCAAAAAAAAAATTATGCTTCATAAATTTAACAATATAACACGTCAACAAGACACATTTAACATTTTTAACTGGTTACAATATTAATAATGACAAAAAAACAATAAAATAGTTATATTATCTGGGTTTTTGTAATTCTGAAATTACCGGTGTTAGTCACTAGGAATATCAAAAACCATTTTGTCTGCCTCCCTGTTGTAATAAAAGCCAAGATTGATCAAGTGTTCGCTTATGCGTGTTATGTAAATATTCAATCTGGTTATATAGAAATCGTAGAGATGCCCTTCCATTTTTTGCGTGATATATTCATGGTTTAAATCGTCTATTATGAAGACACTCTGTTCTGGCACGCAGTTGGCGTTCAAAATGTTCCCTAGGGCGTTGGCGAGAATCAGGATTTGTCTTGTGTTATTTATTTCTCCGTCATTGAATTTCCTAAAAGGGTCGTATGTTTGGAGAAATTTTCGAATCGACGACAAAATTCCGTAAAATGGACTTGGAAGTATAGTTTGGTCGGAATATTGATGCATCAATTCAAGTGTGCGCAATAGTTCAAGTACTATAAACGCACCGTAATCGACCATTATTTTGAGACCAATACCACAATCCGAAATATCACGGTCGATATTTGGCGATACACTTTTGCACTCATCACCTGTATAAACCATTAACCAGAGAAAGTCATGCAATTCTGGTCCGTAACCGCATTGCATCAGATAAGGGAAAACTTTCAACTTTTCCATTGAACTGAATCTACTAGATATATTACCCTTCGTTATACGGCCCAGCTCGCAGTTGATCGAAACGAACCGCATCTTCTGCCAATGTTCATCACTGCAAATATGGTTGACTTGCTTCAACAGGTCAACAGGGGTACTAATGAAACTATTCGTCTGGTGTTTGATGCACACAACGACTAGAGCAATTAAAATCTTTACGGTAAAATGTTTTCTCATAATAAATCGCGTAGACGACATAATTTTTGACTCTGCAAAAGGAATATGAACTACCTATAGTCGATAACACAAACAAAAAAAAGACTAAATTAATTGGATTTGTGCCGCGTAGCTTGTAACAGCAGTCCGTACAATAGCGAACAAACATGCACACAGTGTTTACCTAAGATAGTCGTTTTAATTAAAAGTCATATATCATACTGCCACGAAATGTATGTGTGTACTCACACTGAAAAAAAAATATACACGTGTAGCACAATTATTGTATACAATATGTCTTACTGTGTACCTATTTAAAATCCTCGAGATTTCTTCTGCTTTAACGCCCCCTCGTGTTGTGGTATCATTGAGGAAAGGTGTCTTGCTAACTATTTGTTAACTTTTTGAGTTTTAATTTTGTGGTGACATAATATCCATAATATTCTATGTCCAGCATAGCAGAGGTCATTGTTGACAAATTTATTTTAAGGTTTTCTAAAGGCAGAGTTGTCTGTAAGGAACACTTCTAGGGAATTCAAACACAGTAATATTTGAAGAATTTCTATTTCTCTGTGCTTCAATAATATCACCGATCCTTTGTTTAGTTGTATGTTTAAAACTATAATGTTAATATTATGTAACGTTTTAATCTTTGTTTCTACTAATTTAATTGTTGATAAGTTATTAGATGGTACTTCTTGCGTGTCAATTTGTTAATGCCTAAGATCAGTGTAATTTTCAAACCTTAAATCCAATCACTAAACTTAAAATAAAGAAATGGAGAAATAGATTCTGTACATCCTAGATCTAATGAATATTTGTTGGTTATTTTTATGGTAATTTTTAATTTTTGGTATTTTAAAGTACCTTTCAGGTTCAATTTCTGTTCTTAGGAGTGAACCGAAGAACTTACAGGCAATTAGAGTTAAAATTTAAAAAATTATCAAATTTTGTTTTTAATTGCTTGATTTTAAGAGTAATAGAATGATCTTTTTTTTAGTCTGTATGACTAAGCATTGTTTGAATAACCTATATGAATTTCATTACTGTCAAATCCCTTCAATGCAATTTTTTTTCAATACTTAAAAAAGTTCTTTTTTAAAATAATTATATTTTATAGTTGAGTTTTAAATGCACTTAATCTCAATTTATAACTAGGTACTTTATTCAAAATTACATAATCGTTAAAAACACCTTTTATATTTCACACTGTTATATTTTATTATAATATTGCATAAATTTAACTAACTTATCTAAAAATAATTATTAAATTTAATTAACATAAGTTATAACTTATAACAGTATAACACGTTAGTGGGACACATTTAACGTTATGCATTTTAACTGGTTACAATTTTTATAATGATAAAAAAAAAATAGTTATCTTATCTGTGTTTCTGTATTGTTGAATTTACTGGTCACTTTGAATAGGAGTAATATACTCCATTTTGTCTGTGTCCACGTTGTAAAAAATACCAAGTTGGCTCAAGTGTTCGCTTATGAGTGTTATGTAAATATTCAATCTGGTTGTATACAAATCGTAGAGATGCCCTTCCATTTTTTGCGTTATATATTCATAGTTTAAATCGTCTATTATGAAGACACTATGTTCTGGCACACAGTTGGCGTTCAAAATGTTCCCTAGGGCGTTGGCGAGAATCAGGATTTGTCCTGTGTTATTTATTTCTCCGTCTTTGAATTTCCTTAAAGGGTCATATGTTTCGAGAAATCTTTGAATCGACTATAAAATTCCGTTAAATAGTCTTGGAGTTTAAGTTTCAAAGGAAGACTGTACCAGCTCAAGTGTGCGCAACAGTTCAAATACTGTAAACGCACCATATTCGACACAATCTTTGAGATCATTCCAACAATCCTCACGGTCGATCTTTCGTGACAGACTTTTGCACTCATCGTCCGTGTAAATTGTTAACCAGAGAAAGTCATGCAATTCTTGTCCGTAACCGCATTCCATTAGGTAAGGGAAAATTTTCAACTTGTCGATTGAACCGAATGTACTAGATACGTTACCCTTCATTATACAGCCCAATTCGTAGTTGAGTGAAACGAACCGCATCTTTTGCCAATGTTTATCACTGCAAACATGGTTGACTTGCTTCAACAGGTCAACAGGGGTACTAATGAAACTGTTCGTCTGGTGTTTGATGCACACAACGACTAGAGCAATTAAAATCTTAACGGTAAAATGTTTTCTCATAATAAATAGTTTAGACGACATAATTTTTGACTCCACAAAACGAATATTGACTGCCTATAGTCGATAACAAAAACCAATATGTCTAAATCAATTCGATTTGTGCCGCGTAGTTTGCAACAGTATTCCGCGCAAACACGCACACATTTTGTTTGCCCAAAACAATGTTGTTTTAATTAAAAGATATTCAAACGTCAAATTTCATATTGCTACGAATTTTAATGTACTTTCATTTCACTCTTAAAAAACCAATTCGGATAGTTTTAAATAAATTTCTACGAATTAGCAGGATGCGACAGCCACTTAGTAGCCGAGCTTCTATCACTAGTACGTTGCCACCCTTGTACATCATTTTAGAAAGTAAGGCATTGGTATCCGAAAGGAATGTACCTAATATTTGAATTTGTTTCGGAGATCTCCAAAAAGTTTTATAGCATAATATGTCCCATTAGCTAGTATATCCATTGTAAATAGTCAGCATATGTATCTATCATACTCACATATCTAGACAATGTAACAATCGAAGCTAAAAAAATAAACACAAAAACGTTTAGGCTTAACCAACAATAATTTTGCAATATTTTCTAGTACAGAGAGTTGTCAGGCTTAACGTGATATAGGTAATATTATTATATAATGACAATGGAAGTCTAGTAATATTTTTCTGTCTTGACGATTTTTTTTAATGCATTTTCATTTATCAACGATTTGGAGTAACGTTGAAATAAAAAAAAAAGGACAACACTAAAAAACATTGAAAAATGTCGTTTGGAAGGATACATTTTGAACTAACCAATTTTCAATTTATTTTATTTACTTTGTGCGCCGTTAGTAATAAACAAAAAAAAACTGTTCTTGTTTACCTGTAACTATTTTGATATCAAACACCGTTTTTAAAGCTCAAGCCGAGTACTTAGACAAATATCGTCTGGAACAAAACGAAAACACCTATGCCATTAATTATTATGTTTTCGTTACAAAAATATCGTTTGGGTTCTGCGTACGACAATAGCAACTACGATCTTGTGTGTTTAGCTTCTCTTATGTGTTAGCCGTTGCTTTATTCGACGTAATATTATTTACTGAACTATACTAAAGATTACCATTATCGTCATGCATTGTGTTAATAACGGACAGATAACATTTTTAGCGGCGATCGTCTTGTCCTGTAGAGTTCTAGTGACGTTTGTGATGGCCGGAGGGTGTAGTTCGTCGGCATGTAGAGCGATAGACTCAACTATAGTGCCGAGTAGGGCAAGAAGTAGTTCGGAAACAAACACCGGCTATACATACAAGGCCAACGACACCAACTACAATAACGACACAACCGTGATCAACACCGGCTACGGGACACCCGACATTACCACCTTCTGGTCCGACCCGTTTCAGAAACACTATCTGAAATGCACGTACGTGGTTTGCAGTATTAATCATTTGAGTCTTGCCCAAGTGCTTTTGGACAGCAATGCAGATTTGCCTAAGACCATTTCGATCATTGCAATGTACGAGGATGTCTCCCAGAAACAGGTGAATTCCTAGTAATGTTAAATTGTAACCAACTAGTCAGGCAATTTTACTTTGGTTTACCTTATACAATGTCAAACACTTAATGCACTGGCCTTAGTGCAACGTTGCAAAATTGCGTTTTCTCAACGAATCTAAATGCAACGTTAATTCATCCCACCTTACCTTACTACTCTTTGTTCTACTAACCACATCTTCTTCAATTCCGACGTTTATAGGCCGTATGGGTGTAGAAGAGCGTGACAAAGTAAACTAAGTTGGTAGGTTCGAGCATTAAAGAAGAATGTTTGCTTTGGAGCCGAAATTGAATAGCTATAAAAGTAAATTTTATAGAGTTCTGGAAAAAAACAATTATAAATTTGAATATTGTCTAACATTGTAAAATAACACGAAAAACAACATTTCAGTTATTAGACAAAAATGCCTTTTCCTAATGGACAATTAAAAATAGCTGGTTGTAGGAGGAGAGACCTAGGAAGGAGGTAGGTATATTGATATAGTGTTACTAAATAATTATTACCAGCCTTTTTACGAAACACATGTTGCTATTGTAAAATACACAACATAATATTTTATGCATATTCTTTTTTAAAATGTTAAATTATAATATTATTTTGTAAATAAAGCTGTTAATGCAACTACAACACATTTTTTTTAACATAGGTGTAAACATAAATAATTCAATAATGTTTGCAGTTCGTTTTTGTTTTAACAAAATTTTAGCGTTAAGACACATTTTGTAGCAATATGAACAAAATTCCAGATTCTTAAATTTTTCTTAAATCTTAAACAAAATAAAAAAAATACACTAAAATTGACCAGTCAATATAGGGAAAAAAGCCGAAAAAAATCCCAGCCAAAATTTGTCTTTTCCAAAAGCATTATTGATATATGTACTTAAATATACTAAAAGTCCTCATCGATCAGACTGGAGCTTAGCGCCGGAAAGTTCAAAATGTTGAGCTTTAGTCAATAACTTGAAAAGTATTGTAAATATTTTACAAAGTTTCAAACAAAAAAAATGTAAACTAATAGTTTTTCATCAAATCAATTTGTACTTTGTCTTATTTATCATAATTAATTATAAATAATATATTTGTTTGTAACACAATATACATACTTTTTTTACATGTAATCAATTTGGATAGTCTTAAAAAGTTAGCTTTACGAATTACAGTTTTATATTACTATTACACGTTCACAATGAACTTTAATATATAACTTTAACATTAATATACAATATCACTGTTAGTTTTATACATTTTAAAATTAATAAAACTAGTGTAATTATCACATAGAAATATTATGTAAAACAATAACGAGTGTTTATAAAAAGTTAATTATATAAAATAATATCTGACGTATATTTGAATAATATCTATATTTGTTTACTATAGTTATATTACTATACTATTTTTATACTATATAGTTTCATTATTGGTTTGAAAAAATGTAGTATTTTTAATAAATATTATTTCCTATATTATGTTCTATCTAGCTAAAATAACAATAGAATCATAGCTTGATACATGTATTGCAGTATTAACAATTAATGTACCAGTGTCTTCACTTGCAGTGTTAACAACAAATCTAAATTCAATCAATTTTGTCTTAAGTACCTATTTCTATAATTCTAATTTTGTTATTACCGTTTGACAGTTTTTTTTTTACGGAAATGACCAAATGGCCGTCAAATGAAATATCGGTACCAAGAAAAAACTTAAGCAACACTTGTGGTTTTATGATATAAAATATTTAATTAAAGCCTTTACCACAACAATAATTCTCTATAGCATATATATATATATTTAATGCACTTTCCTTTCAAAATTTAACCAGAAGTTTTGTTTTGTTTTAGATGAGCACTTTGTACACATTGGGCATGGCAAATTCTGCATCGTTATGGATTTTTGATTTGTACGTAAAATTGTTGGCTATAGTAAGCAATCGTCATCGTTATGCCAAAAGTACATTATCAAAAAAAAATAGATCAATTTGCGAACATTTAAAGAACACCTTGAAGGATATTAAATGTCCTAAAAGCGAGATGTTGGAAGCAGACCCGTCGATACGCGCACACAACATAGAGGAATTACTTGAGACAGCAGAGAGACGTGTCTCCGAAAACATGAGTTTAATCGATAGCATAATTACTTCAAACACCAAAAACGGCTTGGCACGCGATAGTTACACTTCGATGTTTTTCGGTAATTTGTGTCTGAACGATTTTGGTTATAACCAGATTATTGATAATATCATGAAAGATTACAAACTGAATATCGTCTGGAGAAATTTTTCAAATTTTGCTGAAAACTCCTACAGGGAAGTTCGCTTATTACACGACGATAAATTTCCCTTATATTACCTGATAAACTATCAGAAAATGTGCCTAAATTTTCTCAAACTCATGATGATCCGGTTTTCCGAGATGTACTATCAGTATGTGGTCGTTTTGAGTCGCCTACACAATATCATAGAGGCGAATCGTTACAAGGATCGTTGGTTGAAGGAAGTTTTTACAGACTTCGTAAATCTTCTCTGTTTACAAGAGGACAAAGATGTAACTTTCCTGAATACGGGTCTTAAATCTCTTAGGGTTGTTGACCCTGACCCTGAATCAACAACACAAGATGACTTTATGGCTAAAATACGTACAATAATTAAGAAATTGGCAATGGCACTCGACGTCGTCGTTGGAAAGTTCGATATACCACAGCAACTAGAAACCACCAGAATCGAATTAGGAAATACTATGGCTAATGCAAAACAATTCATCGATCGCCTTAAACAGCATTTTAAAAGAGTAGATTTTGGGGTCATCAAGGTGATTCTTCCTTTGTATGATCGAAAATAACTAATGTGTTATAAAGAATAAAACATTAACATATTTAAAAACCGTTGAACTACAATAAAAAAAAAAACATGAACATGAATTATTCAAAAATTATATCTCCAGATTAAAAAAAAACAAATGTTATTGTCAATAAATATATATAAGTATAATTTTTACCGTAATTCTTAATGTTATGCGAGTTATTAGTCGTGGTGTCTTCGAATGCACAAGCAAAATAAAATAGTTAATTAAATAAAAGCAAGCACATAGGGGACTACAGTTAGTAATTTTTGTAATTATTTTAGACCAATAAAACTACGATAAACATTAACTAATGCATTTATAATTTTTCATATAAAATTGTTCAAGCAAAATAGATAATTACAATATCGGGTAAAATTTTCAGCTACTTACAATGACATTATACAATATGACATTTCAACTGTATAGTGGTAAAATAATTTTTTTTTAGCTTTGATGCGTAGCTGAGTGGCTATTGGTTCTACTATCATTTGTGCTTTTTTTCATTGTTGTGTACACTGTACCTTTTTTTTACTAGATTAACTCCTCCGAGTAGCAGTTTTATAAACCACAAATTGTATCAAGGATATTGAGTGATTCAATGTAACAACCTAGCTATAAGTAAACTATTTGTGACACCATACTCTCACCCAGTACGTACAAACTTTTTCTATAAAACGAATTTTTTAAATAAAAAAAAGTATATTTCAATAAAAAAAAAAAAAAAAACTGAGTGGGTCACGGGACCCTCGGTAGGAACGAAGTTCAGATATCATATGGTTGTATTCGATTAATTTATAATAAGTGATTGATATAAAATATATTTATCATATGTATATTATTATATATTACTAAATCTCACATTCTATCATAGAAATTATTGATTTACGATGACTAAAATATGATACGTATATTTTTGACTCAAATTTGTTCAAATATCTGGAAAAACAGCATCAATGCCCAATGGTTGTACCATAATTTGTCGTAGATTGTGTATGATCACTGTTCAGAGACAAATTAAACGTTTCGAAAAGAAAATTTTTTTCTTTATTAAAAATATAGATATATTATAATATTCTTTATTAAGTTACGAACGTCTTTTAGTAAAACGGGTGAAAGAATTTTAATTAGGAATAAGAAATTTGTAAGCAGTAACACGTGAAAATTGAATTTGAAGTGAGGAATAAGAAAAAACCATTAACGTGCCAGGCTCTCATTCTCTCTTCCCATCCCTATCTTTAATTTTGATTACTGATGCAATAAATAACTATATTCATAAATTTATTTGTCAGAGAGTCACTGTTTCAAGCAACTCAGTAGATAGTGAGAAAAAGGAAGAGAGATAAAGAGCCAGTGCAAGTTAACAGCCAGTTGTCAAGTACTTCTAAGGGTAAAAATGTATTCTGTAGTAATAAAATATAAATATTTTATAAGTTGTTAGATGACCATAAATAACCATGAAAGTTGAAAAAAAATTTGTAAAAAATGCAAAAAGTGTTGTGAGGGTAGCCGGATTTGAACCCGATACCACTCACTCCTGGGAACCGATCACGCCCGACCGCACCACATATAGTTTCCATAACGCTTTTCCGTAACGCGTAACATTTTTTCTCGGCTAGGTCCCCTCGCCAACCCGCGAATAGGAACTTCGTTCCAAAAAATAGGCAGTGCAATTTTGAAACCCTGAACTCAAATGTTTTATGGTTAATAAACAAAAAAAACTGTTCTTGTTCGCCTGTAACTATTTTGTATTAAACTCTGTTTTTAACACTTCTGCCGAGTACTTAGACAAATATCGTCTGGAACAGAACAAGAAACACCTATGCCATTATGTAAACTACAATATGTAATACTTCGTTTTTACCTTAAAATATCAAAAAATAAAGGGAATAATAACTAAATTTAAGTTACATAGTACAGGATATCACTGTTTCATTATTAAAAGTTACTCTCATTAATACAACAATGGTTTTCTATGAAACGAATTTTTAGCAAAAACGGATATTTAAAAAATTAAAAAGGCCTTTTGTGCAATTTTATAACCCTGTACTCAAATGGCCTATGGTTATTACAAAAAAACTATGTTTACTTCGAAAAAAAATAACTGTTTTATACTTAAGTCCGTGAATTATTATACTGTTTTTAACGGTGCTGTCGAGTACAAGACAAATATCGATTGAAAAAAAATGAAAAACACCTAAGCCATTGATTTTGTTTCGGTACAATAATAATTTCGATTGGGATTTCACACGACAAGAACAACTAAGATCTTGTATTAGTGTACGTGTTAGCCGTTGCTTAATTCGACGTAATATTATTTACTAAACTATACTAAACATTACCATCATCGTCATGCCGTTTGGTAATAACGGACAGATAAAATGTTTGGCGGCGATCGTCTTGTCCTGTAGAGTTCTAGTGGCGTTTGTGGTGGCCGGCGGGGGAAATTCGACGATGTCTAAAAGGATGGTCTCAACTATAGGGTCGAGTAGGTCAAGAAATTATTCGACAACGGACTACGGCTACACCGGCTATATATACAAGGCCAACAACACCAACTACAAGGCCAACAACACCAACTACAAGGCCGACAACATCAACTACAAGGACGACACAACCGTGATCAACACCGGCTACGGGACACCCGACATTACCACCTTCTGGTCCGACCCGTTTCAGAAACACTATCTGAAATGCACGTACATGGTTTGCAGTATTAACCATTTGAGTCTTGCCCAAGTACTTTTGGACAGCAATGCAGATTTGTCTAAGACCATTTCGATCATTGCAACGTACGAGGATGTCTCCCAGAAACAGGTGAATTCATATTAATGTTAAATTGTAATAACCTATAGTCAGGCAATTTCCACACTTTGGACAATTTGTCGTTAAAACATATTTTAAGTCGGCCGAACGAGTGCCGATTTTGTTTTACTTTGGTTTACCTTATACAATGTCAAACACTTAATGTGCTGGCCTTAGTGCAACTTTATAAAATTGCGTTTTCTCAACGAATCTAAATGCAACGTTGATTCATCCCACCTTACCTTACCACTCTTTATTCTACTAACCACATCTTTTTCAATTCCGACGTTTATAGGCCGTATGGGTGTAGAAAAGGGCGTGACAAAGTAAACAGAGTTGGTAGGTTCGAGCATTAAAGAAGATTGTTTGCTTTGGGGACGACATTGAATACCTATAGCCTAAAACATAAGTACACTAAAATAATAAATTATAATACTATATATTATATATAGTATTATAATTTTTAACGGTTTCGCAAGTTGGACGGTGGATAAGATATTATAGGAATTAAAATATAACGGATTTATCAATGTTGAATTAATGAACGGTAAATTTGATAGAACTCTGGAAATAACAATTAAAATTTGAATATTGTCTAACATTGTAAAATAACACGAAACACATTTTGCATATTATTTTCAAAAATGTTATATTATAATATTGTTTAGTGAGAAAAGCTGTGAATGCAACTAAAACACATTTTTTTATCGTAGGTGTAAACATAAATAATTCAATAATGTTTGCACTTCGTTGTTGTCTTACCAACATTTTAGCGTTAAGACACATTTTGTAGCAATATGAACAAAATTCCAGATTCTTACATTTTTCTTAAATTTTAAACAAATTAAAAAAAAATACACTAAAATTGGCCAGTCAATAAAGGGAAAAAAGCCGAAAAAAATCCCAACCAAAATTTGTCTTTTTCAAAAGCATTATTGATATATGTACTTTAATATACTAAAAGTCCTCATCGATCAGACTGGAGCTTAGCGCTGGAAAGTTCAAAATGTTGAGCTTTAAGGATCGGTCAAACAGAAAGTGGACTGTCCACGCGGACAGGTCGCCGGTCCGCTGCGGACTCTGTACTCTATTTAAATGCATCATTTTGGTTAAACAGACAGCGGCCTACCGCGGCGTACTATACTAGACGCAGACAAACGGATGGTTGTATTTTTTCACCAAGTTCGCAGCGGACTGGAATAATTTTGTGAAATAAAAAAAAATATATATATATATTTATAAATATATTTTTTTATAGACAATACACTGGATTTTCTACACGTATCAGCACTTCTAGAGTATTATTATTATTTTATAATTATCGAACATATTACATCGATATTTTATGTTCTAAAACATTATGTAAGTTCTCAAACTGTTCGCAAGACATTCGGAAATAATATGTAAAAAATCGGTCTTCAAAAGAACTCAATTCACTGCACAATCGGTGAAACTACCCAAATTCTTTTCTTTTTTTATTTAGTTCATGTACCCGATTTCTTTTTTTTCGTCTTGCTTGACTCAAGGCAAGCAGAAGAAGCAATCCTTCTTCGCCAGAAGAACTGCTAGACATTTTGTAAAAGAAAATAAAAACAGAAAACGTGAGATAAAAAAGTTTTAAAAAAAACAGCCAGCAGTACACTCTTGGTTGTGGCAGTTTTCACACTGGTTCGCTCCAACTTGTCCGCATTCTGTTTGACTAATCCAATCCGCAGCCTATCGGCGGACTAGTTCGACGGACCTATCCGCGCGGACAGTCCGCTTTCTGTTTGACCGATCTTTAAGTCAATAACTTTTCAAGTTATTGCAAATATTTTAAAAAGTTTCAAACAAAACAAAATGTAAACCAATAGTTTTTCATCAAAGCATTTGAACTTTGTCTTATTTTTCATAATTAATAATATATTTGTTTGTTACACGATGTACGTCATACTAATTTTACATGTAATAATCAATTTGGATGTTCTTAGAAAGTTAGCTGTATGAATTACAGTTTTGTAATAGTTTTTTTCAATATTTTCTAAAAAAAAAAAATCTTAAAAAAATGGGACCAACGTGATTCGCTTGTGTATAACAAGTACTTTTAATGAAAAATAAAAAAATTAATTAGTCAGCCATTTTGTGCATATGCAGAGTCAAAATATCGAGTTTTCCAGTTAAATTTCCAGTTTTTTTATATATTTTATTTGTTACGGCACATATAGGCAAGATTATGATTTTCACGCAGGCGAAACAAATGATTGATTCCTGTGAATGAAATGTAACAATATATTATTGCTATGACAAAATAATTTTTTTATCTTAAGAAAATATTGAAAAATGAATGTCGATAATCCCATGTTATTCTTATGGAAAACTTGACAGCGTTCAGCGGCACAGGTAAAAATTAAGTTAGGACGGTGAAACTTTTAGGCCCTTTTTTTTCACCCACTAGACTAGTTTAAGACCTTGGGAGCATAACATTTTGAAAAAGTCCAAAATAAGGGACACTCTAATATAATATATACAGCATTTTCCTTTCAAAATTTAACCAGAAGTTTTGTTTTGTTTTAGATGAGCACTTTGTACACATTGGGCATGGCAAATTCTGCATCGTTATGGATTTTTGATTTGTACGTAAAATTGTTGGCTATAGTAAGCAATCGTCATCGTTATGCCAAAAGTACATTATCAAAAAAAAATAGATCAATTTGCGAACATTTAAAGAACACCTTGGAGGATATTAAATGTCCTAAAAGCGTGATGTTGGAAGCAGACCCGTCGATACGTGCACACAACATGGAGGAATTACTTAAGACAACAGAGAGAAGTGTCTCCAAAAACATGAGTTTAATCGATAGCATAATTACCTCAAACAGCAAAAGCGGCTTGACGCGGTATAGTTACAATTCGATGTTTTTCAATGATTTGTGTCTGAACGATTTTGGTCATAACCAGATTATGGATAATATCATGAAAGAATACAAAGTGAGTATCGGCTGGGGAAATCTTTCCAACTTTATTAGAAACTCCTACAACAAGGTTCGCTTATTACACGACGAAAAATTTCCCTTATATTACCTGATAAACTATCAGAAAATGTGCCTAAATTTTCTCAAACTCATGATGATCCGGTTCTCCGAGATGTATTATCGGTATGTGGTCGTTTTGAGTCGCCTACACAATATCATAGAGGCGAATCGTTTCAAGGATCGTTGGGTGAAGGAAGTTTTTACCGACTTCGTAAATCTTCTCTGTTTACAAGAGGACAAAGATGTAACTTTCCTGAAAACGGGTCTTAAATCTCTTAGGGTTGTTGACCCTGACCCTGAATCAACAACACAAGATGACTTCATGGCTAACATACGTACAATAGTTAAGAAATTGGCAATGGCACTCGACGTCGTCGTTGGAAAGTTCGATATACCACAGCAACTAGAAACCACCAGAATCGAATTACGAAAAACTATGGCTAATGCAAAACAATTCATCGATCGCCTTAAACAGCATTTCAAAAGTGTCGATTTCGGGGTCATCAAGGTGATTCTTCCTTTATATGATCGAAGTTAAGTAATGTGTTATAAAGATTAAACAATAACATATTTAAAAACCGTTGAACTACAAATAAAAATAATGAACATGAATTATTCAAAAATTATATCTTCAGATTAAAAACAACAAATGTTATTGTCAATAAATATATAAGTATAACTTTTACCGTAATTCTTAATTTTATGCGAGTTATTAGTCGTGGTATCTTCGTAATGCACAAACAAAATAAAATAGTTAATTAAATAAAAGCAAGCACTAAGGGAATTACAGTTATTAGTTAGTAATCTTTGTAATTATTTTGAGCCAACGATCGTGTGATCAACATTAACTAATGCATAGATAATTACAATATTAAGTAATATTTTAGGGTTACTTAATTTGTTATTATACGATATGATATCTTAAGTTTATAGAGCTAAAAGGTTTTTTTTTTAGCTAGGATGCATAGCTTAGAGGCTATTAGTTTTACTATGATGTGTGCGTTTTTCGTGTCTGTGTACACTGCACTTTTTTTTCACTGGACCAACTCATTCGAGTAGCAACTCTATAAATAAAAAATGTATCTAGATAATACTTTAGAGGGTAAATAATAGAGGGAATAACAACTAAATTTAAGTTACATAGTATAGGATATCACTAATTAAATATTAAAAATTACTCTCATTAATACAGCAATAGTTTTCTATGAAACAAATTTTTACCAAAAACAGATATTTTATTAAAATAAAAAGGCATTTTGTGCATTTGTATAACCCTGTACTCAAATGGCCTATTGTTATTGAAAACAAACTTTTCTTGTTTACCTCGAAAACAAAATAACTGTTTGATATTAAAGTCCGTGTATTATTACACGTGAAAGTATTAGCTTTAAGACACATTTTGTAGCAATATGACCACAAATTGATATAAATCACTAATATGAACAAAACACATTTGCTTACAGTTTCCTAGATTTGAAACAAAATAAAAAAGTACACTAAAATAGTTCGTTCTTTAAAGAAAAAATTCCTAACCAAAATTTGTTTTTTTTTAAAAGCCTAATTGATATATGTACTTATTACTTACTGATCCACGCCAGCCATCACAAACGTCACTAGAGCTCCACAGAACAAGGCGATCGCCGCCAAACGTTTTATCTGCCAGTTATTGGCGCACGGCATGATGATTGGTAATCTTCAGTAGTAAATATACGCCAAATAAAGCAATGGCTAACACGTACACAAATACAAGATCCTAGTTGTTATTGTCGTACGAAATCCCAATCGAAATTATTATTGTACCAAAACAAATTAATTGCTTAGGTGTTTTTCATTTTGTTTCAATTGATATTTGTCTATGTATTCGACCGCACCGTTAAAAACAGTATAATAATTCACGGACTTGAATATCAAACAGTTATTTTTTTTTCGAAGTAAACAAGAATAGTTTTTTTTTTAATATCCGTTTTTTTGGTAAAAATTCGTTTCATAGAAAACTATTGCTGTAATAATGAGAGTAACTTTTAATAATGAAACAGTGCTATCCTGTACTATACGTTTTTTGTCTACTGGGACGTTCTATTACCTTTGTGTTTTGATAGTTTAAGGTAAAAGCGAAATAGTACATATTATAGTTTACTTATGCCCCGAGCACACTCAACTGACTTACTTGGATAAAATCACATTCGAGTATCACCTAAAGAATATCATAGAGGTGAATCGTTACAAGGATCGTTGGTTGGGAATTTTTGCCGCCTTCGTAGATCTTCTCTGTTTGGAAAAGGACAACGATGTAGCTATGCTGAAAATTGGTTTTGGTGTTTGCAGTCTTGGGGTTGCGTTGACCCAAAATCAAATATACAAGAGGATTTCGGTTAATACATTTATTCTATAGTTGCGAATTTGGCAAAGGCACTCAACGTCATTGTTAAAGACTTCAGACTACCTTCCAGCTGTTAAATCCTAAAATTTATGTTAGATAAAATCAGCATAGTTGCGATTTACGGAGGTTTGTATACTACCGCTGTGTTTATAAAAAAAACTGCAGATCTTATGCTATGCGTGAAGTATAATAAGAGCAGTCGGACTTACGGCAGCTATTACATACTACGCGGTATTCGAGACCAATTATATATAGGTGCGCAAATTAACTATGTACTTTCTTTGTAGAAAATGAATCGTTAAAATTTCGATGTAAATTCATACGTGCGCCAATGCCACTATAATAATATGTAGGTACTAAAACAGTTAGCACTTTACATTCTTTAAATACTCCGAGAAGCTTTTAACATCAGGTGTCGAGAAACGGTTTTTAAGAATTCCTAACGAAAAAAAAATGTATCGTTTGAAAAATGCTCCAGTTGTTAGCTTTGTACCGAAGACATGATTCTGTAATTCAATCGTAAATTGCTTAACACAATTTGTTGTATGCATTCACAATTAGAATACAACTATAAAACAACATTGGGTGGTCTACCGTGAGTCATTGTCCAATTTATTTAACAATATTATTAGTAAAAATATATTAAATTTAATCGAATAATAATTGTGAAAGTTAATAACGTGATTTTTATTCGACGCCATTGGAAAAAAACATAGACAATAAGGCGTTAGGAGTATGATTTTTATATTAACTTGGCAATAAATTTATCAATTTTTGTAGTAAACAAATTAATTTGCTGATTTTCCTGTATACATAATGACTACATTTTGTTATTGGTAAACAACACTTCCGAAATCCATTTATTTTAAACATTTCAGATGGCGTTTACTATATTTTATTTTATAGTGTTAAGTGTTTTTTTTTATATGCCTATCTAATCAACTCCTGGACTGATTTACTTGATTATTATCGATTACAAATCTGTAATCACACTCGGATGGTTAGGTTTCCCACTGGATAAAAACAAGAGTTCTTGCTGTAAAACAGTAAAGCCTTTTTAAATGCACATTGTTTATAGGAAATTAATACATGACGTCTACAATTTCATATCCCAAATAAAAGAATCGCGACAAGCCAATTATATTCTCACCTCAGTTATAGATATAACTCTATTTCAGGTATTTATATCTGTCAATTTTGTTTGCTCAATCCATGCATCTACCTCTACCAAACCTCTAAAAACCAACTGTGGGGAACAGCTAATTAGGGAATTGGTAAGTTTTTTTATTTAATTTCCTATTTTTGTTTCTGGACCAAAGAAATTTGTGTCCTTATTGTGCATTTGTGCTACATATATATGGACAAATAAGATCTTCCGGTAAACGAATATGAACTGTTGCATAACAAAATACAATCAAAAGGAACGAACTGAACAAAAAACTGAACGACTCGTGTGCAATGTATTAGTACTCGGTGTGGGTGGGAGATGCAAGTGAGAGACCAAATGTGTGTGTGTACAGAAAATTAACATTTTAAAAGAAGTCGTCGCATGCAGCCAGAGCCAGAGCACGCGTTATTTAAACAAACAGAAGGACACATTCCTGGCCTGAACCCTTTTTTTTCAGTCAGCTATTAGTATGATGTTGTTATTATTACTATTTTTCTTGTTCCACAAAGAGACGAAGCCCAATGAGTCAAAACAAATCGTCGTGCTCCGAAATTTCAATAGCCCCGTCGACGATTCCGAGACATACCTACTTTATTTCTATTTCTATTACCATTTAAATATATATTTTCTATTCACTAGCACCGGTACAGGCAAGTATAATACCTATGGATTATTATTATTGTTGTAAGTATATAGTAATAACAGAGAGAGAGAGAGAGAGAGATCATCGTGATGTACGCGCGCGCCCGCGGTCCAGGTGAAAAATAAACACATTTCACGCGTCATCGCACCGACTGTGACAAGACATATTTTCCTTCTTCTTCTTCTCAGTTGATTTTTTTCCAACACTTCATTCATCTTATTTTTAACGTTTACGTTTTAACAACTAGATCCTCGACAAACATGGAAAAAATAGGCATACTTAATAATAAAAAATTATAATATATTATTTTTCGATCTCGTGAAAACGCGACTTGACGTGTCACTATATTATTATTTCTTATTATCCGTTAAGTATAATAATATCATATTTATATTGTTATATTGTATCGTGACATTAATTCCATGACGTTTCCGCCGGAGCTACCTATTGAATTGATTAAACACATCATAATATATTATTATTGTTATAACTGGAAGTTTGGGACCTGAATGAAAATGTATAACAGCTACACGTCCACCTTTTGTTGTCTGAATATCTTTCTGGACGATTATTTAACATTTTTAATACGAAGCACGAATTAGCTCTCGACATTCTCAAGTCGGTACAGATTATGTTTTCCACTCATAACGTGGACGACGCTATATTTTTCCAAAAGTAAACGAACGAAAACCCTCAATATGTTGAGTAACCCAAAGTGAACCGTCCAAAACACTAGTGGGAAACAATAGCCGACTTGAATTGACCTACTCTATAGACCAGAAATCGTACCTGTTAAGGTACTTTAATGGGCCAAAATTTAAAAAAAAGGTCACCCCTTCCCCTTCAAAATCCAGTAAAACAGATTCACATCGAAAGGTTTATTTAAAAGTGATTTTATCACTTTCAGTTATGATAATTTCTGTAAGCCTGTAACCTGTGCCCTGATTCCACTTTTTTTTTAAATTTTTAGTGTTACTCCGTTGCGTTGGAGGCTTGTCTATTTTTGTTTTTTTTTTACCCATGTAAAATATAATATCACGGTACACGGATGATGTATGGACGCGACGCGGCGTAGGATTTTTAAGCGTGCCTTATCTGTTCCCGTCACTGAACCCGTAAACATTTGTTAAACTATATACCTTTACACACACACATATATTTATGTATATAATATGTATACACGGCGTAAGTGCGAACACAACACGAGACATATTTCACCCCGGGACTCGTATTCATTGAAGCGTAATAAAAATAAAATAATATTAAATAAAAATATTGGAAATGAAAAAAAAAGTCACAGTAATATTCTATAGGCGTTTTATGTCTTCCTCTCGAGTATATTATATT